TAATTTGATGTTTCTAATCTGTCATCTAAGAAATCAGATGACCAGAGCTGTTAGAACTATGTGTAAATTAAGAGCCAAGCTCTGAAAGATAACTGAAAACCCTCTTCTTCAAAACAGCTTGCAGCAGGTTTCCTGGCAGCCATTTCCTTTCTTCTCAGAGCTTTTCTTATCTAATTTCCTGCTTGACAGTCTCAAAAAGTTGACCTCCATTTGAAGGAGGTTTTACTATTATGAGATGCAGTGGAGAACACACCAGAGTGGAAGGAGGAGACATCTGTCCTGGGGCAAGAACCAACACCTAGCCCAAGGACCTTCAGACTCATAAAACCTCTGCTCCATTTCCTCACTTGTATAACCCTACTGTCCTGTCTACTACATGGAGCCAATGAGGTACAGTGAATCGTGCATGAGCTGTTATGGAAACAACCATCATTCTCAGAAGTCTATAAACCTTGACTACTGGCTGCCAATTTTTATGAATAAAGTTTTATTGGAATGCAGCTTTGCCTGTTCCTTTGTGTATGATGTGGCTTCTTTAGAAATACAGAGCAAAGTTCAATAGTTGCAACAGATATCATATGGCCCACAAAGCTGAAAATTCTTACTATCCAGCCTTATATAGAAAATACTTTTCTGAACCATCATATCAACACATTTTTTAAAAAAATTTTCAAACAAACAAGGTTTCATTTTTCCACTAAATACCCACATGGAATATTTCACAACACAGAATGCTGCTTAACAGAAAGAAGACATTTGATGATACTAATTATATGGCTAACACACAAGAAATTCGTTATACATGTTTCCTGATATGTCAATCTCTTATTTTGAACATTAAAGTCCTCAGAATATTTTGAATTTAATTCTTCAAAGAATAATTAGATCAGAGCCCAAAACTACTTCTGGTGTGTATTTTAGGGTGAAAAAAAATCAGTATTACATTGTCCCCATTGTGTCACAGCACTGAGGGCAAAAAGCTGCCCATAGTCATCAGTGCCGAACACACTGTGGGAGCTCAAATATTAATCAAAATGACATCTCCAATTTCTCTCTTTCCTAATCAGCCCTAAACATTGCAGGATATCCAGGAAATCAATAAGCAAAATGGGATGCTCTCATCACTCCGAGCCTTGCAGCACTGCATCTTTAGCCAGGATGAGGGTTCTCAATGTTACACAGATACTTCCTTATTTCAGCTGTTTGCCTCTTCCATGGGATAAGCATGCCCACCTGTCACCCAAACTTTGCCCTGCCATGCATTTGACCATACCACCTGTCACAGAAAGAAAGACCTTTTACCACTTCAAGAAAAATATGCCTGGGATTGTTTCACTCTAGAATAGAATCTTGGTGCATTTTTCCACCAAGATTTTTGAATGAAATGAGAACAGGCTGTTAAAAAGTAATTGTGAAAAACTGAAGAGGCCTCACCTGCTACCATCCACACCTGAGGGGATGGCATAAGTCCTGACCATGCATACCACACACTCCCTAAACTTCCAACAAAACAGACTTTAGGCACAAATGAAAATTAACCTTTGGTTTCAATCTTCTTCCATTGCCTTCTGTCTAGGCCCTTTTCCCCAAATCTCTTATCTCACTGATACCTTCTGTTTTTTCTCTATGAGTTCTAGATTTGTTCTAGTGCTGAAAGATCTGAGGAGATAGCTATATGTCAATTTATTCTACCTTTATGTATTTAGAAGAGGCAGAGTGCTGGAGAAATGGAACAAAAAATAGGTTTGTTCACAAAAGGAACTAAGTTCAAACCCTACAGAGAGGATAGCTATGAGAAAAGCTAAAAGGCAAAGGCTCAGGAAAACTGACTGAAATAGAAAATACACAGACGTTCACTACCTGTGAGCTCCAGAAACCCCATAGGAGACTTGGAGAAGAAAGCTAAAATCTGCTTATGGTTGAGCAACCATGACCTAAAAACTACCACAATTGGTCAATGTGAAGTTGAACTCATTTGAGACCCAAGAACATTTAGGTTAGTTCACTCAGTCATTATTCATTCATTTGTGTGAATAGGCACCTTCCAATCAGGCTCTCCAAGCCTGTTTTGGTCTTAGCTGATATTTTCTCTTTTAACTTTATGAAAATATAAATAGAAAAGATTCCTCATCCAAGAGTTTTTTTTTTTTTTCTCTTTTACAGGAAAAGGATAAAATAAAGATGGAAACATGATGGAGCCACCTTAGCTAGATAAAGTCAGCTTGGGGAAAAAAAGTAGTTCATTAAATTTTAGGAAAAATTGAGATAGAGATTAAAGGCAACCAACAACAAAGCCAATACCAGACACAAGACTTAAAAAACAAAACAAAACTTATTCAAAAGGAATGCTTATGAGGTGGAAAACTGAGCCATCAGCCACCTACACAGGTTGTTGTGGGACTCACATGGGATGGTCGGTCAATGGGACAATCCTTTGAAAAAGTGAAGGACACAGGACAAATGTGAAGACACTGATATAGTTCTGAGCAATCCTAAGTTCTATCTTAGGCTGAGTTGAGGTTGTTAAAAAACTACCAGTGTAGTAGCATGAGATAAATAAATAGCCTCATTTGGATCAAATATCCTCCAGGTTAATTTGGTGATTAACAGTACATATTATTTGATATGGCAAACTAAAACAAAAACTTTAATAGGAAACAATATAAATAGCCAGCTATAGGAGATTCCTGAAGTAATTAATTATTTTTTGGTACCTGGGATTGAACTCAGATGTGTCCATTACAGCCACTATTCCAGTCTCTGTACATTTGGTACACCTACCCTTGTATGTCCTGCTCTGTCCACGGTGAAGCTAATATGATATCTAGAACTGGATACCTTTCACCTCTGACATCCAGAAAGATTAAACTAATGAAGGGGACTGCAGGAGAAAGAAGAGAATTTCCCACAATTCTCTGTTTCAGTCCTGAGGATCTGGCTATAGCTGCCTCCCTGGCATGACTTCAGGTATGAGCAAACCCCCTGAGCTTCAGCTCTCACTAGGTTTTAATGCTTTTCCATTATTGAGGCTTCAGCCCTACAAGTGTTAAGAGCTTCCTGATGCTGCCAGTGTCTGGGTGGGGGGAACAATACCATCTGTTCCTGGTCTGTTCCCTCATCCCTGCACATACCTATAAATATTCCTTTGTTACAGTCTCTTCATTTGACCCACCTGAGTTGAATTCAGTTTCCTGCCAGGACTATGGCTGAAATAAAACATGGATATCTATTTATTGGCATGGAAAGATGTCTGACAATGTAAATCAAAATAATAGCACTTGGGTTTAGATGGTGGAACAGAATTATGTATTTTTCTTTATGATTCTTTATTGTTCAATTGTTTAACTACACATGATTATTCTGAGGATAGAAAAAGAAATAATAAAATTAAATACAAAATGGAAAAAAGCCTAACCTCAAGAGTACTCTACTTCCCACTTCATCAAAATTAACATATACAAAAAGTTGCATAGCACAAAGGTATCTTGATGAGGCAATAGGACCATGAACACTTGTAAGCAACAAGATATTTCTTTATTCCTGCTGGATTCTATTATCTATTACAAATTCTGTTCAGTCAGCAAGTGTTCACAATCACGAACACAATTGTACAAATTATAAGTAATGTGTTTTACAGGCTTGGATTTCACAAGCAGAGGTCAAGATTTTGTTGCACTATGAGATAACAGTAGTAAATATGACTAAGAGCATATCACCTACAGGTACTGTGTACAAGTGTTGTAGGTACTAGCTCATTTAATCCTGGCAAGACAGCAGTGCTATTACTCCCATTCCACAGATGAAGAAATTGTCATGCAGAGAAGCCAAGGAATTGGTTCAAGGTTGCAGAGTTCTTCATTGACAGGTCCTGGAGGCAAACCTTGGCTCCAGAGCCTATTTTATCCATTACACCCACCTGCCACTCAGATGGACCCATTAACTAAGAATTCTGAAACTCTCCTAATTATTGGCATATTATACAAAGAACCACCAGAGCCCTCAAACTGACTCACGACTTATTAGCTGTGCAACCTTGCACATTTACATTACATATTGACAATTCCTCATCAATAAAATGGTGACTGATACCTCTAGCTATGAGACTCTAACTCATATGAGCAAATGAGCATGGTAGCTTTCAAAGACATATAACAAGATACAAATGTAAGGTTTATGCCACACCCTCAAAACATGAGTACATTAGTCACCAACATTAACACACAACAGTCAAAGGTAAAGAAAACAGCAATTACTTGGGTGAAGTATGGCTCTAAACTATAATATTATAAACTACCCAGTCTGTTAATAACACCCAACATAAAACCACCACTGATTAATCAATAAAAATCATGCAATAGTTTCAGTGAAATGTACTCTCAAGTGAACTCTCCTGACTCACATTCATTAATTACATCACCTAATTTGATATGTTCCAGCATTTTCTGAAATACATTATTCTCAATCTTCAGTTATGTAGTAAAACTTTTTTAAAAAAAACATTTAAAGTTCAAACTATACATTCTGTGTGGTATAATACCAAAAGTTCAAGTAAGCCACTCAGTTTTCAGTTTCCCTGACTCAACTTTTTGGAGTTTTATAATTAATTATATTCCATTATTACTGATCATCAATTAGCTCAAAATGTTGCTGAGATGGTGAGTATGCTGAAGAAGGCAGAATTTAATGATACTTTGAGACCAGTAGGACACTAAATTTCTCTCTTGTTAATAATTAAAGTAGATAACTTGTGTTTTTATTTATAGCTTCCAGAAATATCCGGCTCATTCCTGTGCACTGCCCTGTCAGCTAATCATCAGCTGGTCAGGATCTGACTTAGGCCATTGTGTTGTATTTTCCACATGTCTTCAACTGAAGCTATAATTGCAGCCCAACCAAACCTTAAAGCAAGTGATGTCATTTCTGTGTCCTCTCTAGAACTTTCCACACACTTATACATCATAAATATATAAAGAATCAGAAAGGGTAAAATATCAATTTACCTGTTTCAATTTCCCAGATATAGACAGAATCGTCAGCACATCCAACAATTAAAAAGTTCTCAACTGGGTGCCATTTTATCATCCTCACAGGGAAAAGATGCTTCCGAGCACGCAGGAGGCACCTCCTCCCTTCCAGGTGAAGGAGAGACACAGAATGGTCACTGCACACACAGCAAATTATCTGATCATCCCTCAGCTGTGACAAAAACAACAAGCTTATGTAAGTAAACAGTCAAATGTTTTCTTTTTGATTATATTTTCTCCTAACAGAACATTTTTGTTAAAGCCTCATTTACAAAAGGACATTTCTACATTCTACAGCATCTCTTCACATAGCTATCTGTGGAAGAGCTTTAAAAGCAGAGTGTAGTTTAAACTCAACAACCTATGAGGAAGGTCAAGAGATGCAAGTAAAAAGGAGAATTCTAGGCCAGATCTACTTATGAGATAAATGAAGAACTTGATCATAACTCAGCAAATTCAGGCAGTGAGACAGACATCGGAAATAATGCAGAATAAAATAAACCCCAGAACTAATTTGTTGCCACAAAAAGAAGCTATTTTTAGACACAAGCTTAGGCCCAAGGGTATCATGAGCTGAGAGTTTCCACTTAAAGCCTCAAAATGTGATTTGGTGCTGTTCCCAGAACTATACAGATTCTAATCCAAACAGGAAACTCAGTGTAGACACAATCTAAAAGAGGTAAGCATTAGATAGTTCCAACTGAATGCACCGCTTCAAAGACACAAGGACCAAAAATAGGCTCCTAAGGACAAGAATCCTTAAGACACTTTTTAAAAAGTCAGCATGTGGTTACCTTGGCCACAGTGTAGGACAATGACCATCCAGGCTGGGTATTGTTGATCTACCCAGAATTTCAGCTGTTGTGTTTATAGCACCAATGGAGATCTCTTGAGACCTCCCAGGACCCATCATCAACCTCTCTGTGGGGTACTAGAGAACACATTTTCTTTCCTAATTATTTTTTAAGGAGATTACATAAATCCAAAGGGAAAAAAATTACAAAATGGCAGGTGCTATACATATGGAGCCTAGACTTATTGAATGGATTAAATATAATTTCTTCCCACCCATAATACCTCTTGGAGAACCTGCCCATCCCATAGCCTCTAGAATGGACACCCCAAGGTGTTTCAGGATCCTTAAACACACACACACACACACACACACACACACACACACACCACACCACACCACATGAATACAAATCTTAAGGCCAGGAGTGGATATACACTAGTGACTCACACAAGGCCAATCAGAATCTGTTTTAAAAGCATTTAAGAGATAAAAATAATTCACAGAAAGAAGCAAGAGAAGGAAGCAATCACAGGAAAGCATGCAAGTGTACAAGCATATACTTTTGCATAGGAAAACTTGGTTTCAGAATTTATAGTTCAAGTTCCCCCCAGCCCTTGCTATCATGTTTTGTCCTGGATGTCTCAAAGATTGCTGTTATACTCTCTGAATAAAGTGCCCCCCCCAACTTTTTTTTTTAACTTAGTTTGAATAGATCCTGTTTCTTAAAATTAAATCATCTATGACTGAGGCAGAGAAAAAGAGATCAGGAATGAAACTGACTTGCACTGCTCTACTGGAGTGAAAAGGAAAAAAAATGAATAAAAAGAAAAAAATAAAGAAACATCAGAAATAAAAGATATATCAAGGAATCCCAAATCATCGTGGGGAAAATTATTTTAAAACCACACTTAACCTTGTTTCACTGCTTTATTCAATCATTTGTGTTGCTGAAATATTGTTTTCCTACATCTTATTACAAAAAATATTATGCTTCCTGCAAGTTTAATTGTAGCTGATTTTTTATAATATTGTGGAAAAATAATTTTATAAGCCAACTAATTTACAAAATCTCTTTCCCTGCATTATGCTGTACCTTTATTTTAGATGAAACTCAAAACTTGGTTGTTCATTTTTTAACAAAGACATTAGCTCTATGAAAGCTGAATTTAGGTTGATATTACATGAGAAAATTACATACAAAACTATTTCATTTTTCCCAACATAATATAGGTGCTCATAAATTTTTTAAATCTCAATATTTATTAAATAAATAGATAAGTAAATAAAAATCCACATATTAAAAATAATGCAACTATGAATATTATTATAAAATGAAATTGTTGAAGGCGAAAGTTAAGTTCTAATTTATACATCCCTACATTGTTTGACTTGTTTTTTGCATTAATTGGCTACTATTATTAAAAATAACTCCATTCAGAATTAAGACAGAAAAATATATAAAAATATATAATTATTTCCTTACTAGAAATAATTAAATACTTTTATAAAATCAGAACTTTAAACACTTCCTTTAGAACCAAATTATTTGTATAATAATAAAAATTGTATAAAAAGATTAGAAAGAAATATGGAAAATCATCCAGTTACATTATAGGTGAACAAAACTTTTTTTTCTCCTGTGGGATATCCCTTATTTTTCTTGCTTTTAAAAATGTTCTGTAATGTCATATAACTCAAATTATGAAACTGACTTGGACTGCTCTACTAGAGTGAAAAGGAAAAAAAGTGATTAAAAGGAAAAATTAAAGACAAACCTCAGAAATAAAAGATATACCTGAGGAATTTCATACTTTTTATCTTAACTTACTCTGAAGTTCTCTGGTGACATCAAAAGGCTTGTTACTGGACCGGCTTCCAAAAAGAACTTATGCAAAATGTCTTCAGTAAAGATATCCCACAAGATCACACAGGAACCTTGGTCCCCAGACACCATCCAACTTTGGTCTAATTTCGAAGATAGACCATGTGGATAAAGTAAAGAAGTTACACTTTGGTGGTGGCCTTTGAGAACTTTATGAGAGGGAGAATCTGGAAGATGATCAAACACCAAATAGTAAAGACTTTATTTTTATCTAGGAAATAATTCTGAGAATTCTTTTTATAAATTCTTAATATAAACACACATTTGAATAAGAAAATTAGTGGACAACACTTAGAACATCTCAAAAGGCAAGAGCTTTATCAGAAACAAAACCATGCTTTTGATGAAGTACTAACATTGATTGTTTAACTCTATTCATTGCTTAGTATACTAGCAAGTTATCAGTTCTTCTACAGCAAACACTTTTCTGAAAGAGTGATTCATATATTCTGCTCCATAAAATAAGCCAATTTTCTTTAAAATTAGTATAATTAAGTCTAATATATAAGAAAAACGAGTTTCCCACAACATTTTGCTTTGAAACATGTTAGAGATTACCTAGTCCTTTCTCTTTGTTTTACAGATAAAGTCCCTGAGTTTCAGATAGGTTAACTGAATTAATTGCAAGTGTCAAAAACCAAACATAATGTTTAAGAATGTAGACTTGCTATTAAAGAAATCTGCCTTTACTCTGAGTTGATCAATTTCTAGATGTCATAATGGAAAAGTTGCATTTTCTCTAACCCATAGATGCTGCACCTGAAAGATTAGAATAATAATCATCCTTGCTTCAGAATGACCATAGGGTAAAATAAATAAGACAATGTCCATAATTTTCTAGCACTCTCCTTGCATCTTCCAGGCTCAGGGGTATTTCAAACCATATCTGTACTGGAACACAAGATGATTGACACATCTTTTCTTTTCTGACTAACCACACAGCTTCTTCCTTCCTCATTAACTAAACTGTCTCCAAATTGGAGAGGACCATAAGCCATAACCTCTGTATTCAAACTAAAGCGGAATCCCAAAGAATCATTATCTCACTGTAGTTACTTCTAGTCCATCAGGCACATCCTCATTTCATACCCCTCGCAAATTATAAAAAAAATATATATATATAAACGCAGATGCTAAAAGTCAAATGTAGGTTTCTGTTTGTTTTCTTAACATGAGGATAAATCAGCCTAGATAAAAGATGCTAAGGTGTTGGATTTTTCACTAACTTCTAACAGCAGCCATTTAGCTATATACCAGTATATTACCTTTCCTCAGTTCATTGCCATTTATTCACTGACTTCAGTCAAGTACTGAATCACAAGTCAGTAACATTTAGTAGTAACCACTGTAAATTGAGAACAATAGTGGGCAATGTAAGAGGAGTTGAAAAACATACTGAGTTTCAGTCTCTACCCTTGAAGACCTTACATTCTAATAGGATTTATATAATTTAAAATGGTTGGGGCTGGGGATGTGGCTCAAGCGGTAGTGCGCTTGCCTGGCATGCATGCAGCCCGGGTTCGATCCTCAGCACCACATACAAACAAAGATGTTGTGTCTGCCGAAAACTAAGAAATAAATATTAAAAAAATTCTCTCTCTCTATATATATATCTTTAAAAAAATTTAAAAAAAATAAAATAAAATGGTATATGATTTTTACTCCACATCCTAAAATCACCTCCTATATTTCCTTTCCTGATCTGACAACTTGCTGCATAATGGTATTTATTAAATAGGCATTTGTTGTGGTAATGCACAAAGATGTATAAGAATGAATATAGTTCATTAACAAAGAAATAAAAACTAAAACAAAAAGATACCGTTTTTTTCTTTCCCTAATTGTCAAAGATTAAAAAGTCTAATAGCAAAGTTGACAAAGGTTTAGGAGAAAGGCATTTTCACAGACTGTTACTGGACATGCATGTATACTGATATAATTTCTTTACAAAAACTTTTAAGTATATTTCCAAAATATTAAATATACAAACTAATGATGATCTAGTAATTCTACTGCTGTGGACTAATACTGAAGAAATATCCAATATATGTTCAAAAATAATCAATTTTGTATTATCCATAGTAGCTAAAGACTAGAAAACATAAACATCAATTTTCAATTAAAATTCATTGTTAATAATTATAAATAGTTTATAAAGAATAAACACCAAAATATTTTATTCATATTTATTTAAGGATATCTTAGAAAAATGTATTACAATAAGCTTCTATTTGTGTAATATAATTTTAAAAATGTATACTGTTATGCTGGTACATAAAAAATTTCAATAAAGGCACAAAGAAACTATTATTTATAATTGTCTTTGGTAAAAGAAGAGAAACTTGTTTCTTACTGTAAAACTTCCTGTTTGAGTTTTTTTTAAAAAAACAAAAACCTGCATGTATGTTTTATTTGAATATTAAAATATGTACAAATTTATCAGCAAAAGACTTCTGAATCTTCTTTACTATAGCTTATTGAAAGTAAAACCTAAATAAATAAAATTAAGAGGGTTAAATAAAATTGAGTCACCTTTTAATAAAGAACCCCCTTCTAGAAGTCCTGCTTTGGCAGCATTCAAAGCCTGTATAATGAAAATTGTCCCATCTTCACAGCCACATATTAGTTTATCAAGACTTGGAACGTACTCTGATGAAGTGACTACTACAGTTCCTGCCTCATCTTCAAGCCCAGAGAAATGGTCAATAATACTTTGAGACACAGTTTGATGCTTATCAAAATTATCTTGAAGTGTCCAGGTGGTAGTTATTGGTATTTCTAAAAGTAAAACATACAAAATTAGAAAACGTGGTTTATCAATTCATAGTGGACAGGTAAAATGTTATCAAGACATTATATTTTCAAAAGCTGTGAATAACAGCTTAATCCATATTCGTGTTGCCAACATTCATTCCTTGTTATATTCAATTGGTATTAATTTGAATTATATTAGTTGAATTGTTTAAATCTATAAGCTTTATGTTTATGCCTGCTTTTATGTTGCACTTAGTACATAGTGGGTCATGAGAATTTTTTAATATGTAGCTTCAGGTTATTCAGCTCAAAAAAAAAAAAACCCAAAAAACACTGAATTAATTACAAATCAGTACTCAGAAAACATGTGAGGAAAGAAAAGGAAACTGTCTTACCCCTAGGAGAACCATCAAACTTGGATATGGGAACATCAGGGATGTGCCACAAAGTAATCCTTCCTGAGACTTCACCAGAGAAAAGTACCTTATAAAAAGGCTCTTTCCTTTCATTCATGTAGCCCATAACAAAGGGAAAGTTCTGTGCCGAAACAAAAAAATAAATAAATTTTATGTGGAAATGTTCTAACTGTAGAAAGGTAGCCACTGTTTATAAAAGGTGGAACAAAACTTCCTAGTTGAACTAAATTTTTTCAACTTATTTCCCACTGTTTCAGAATTTTCAAGTGAATTAAATGAAATAATCTGTGATTTAGGACAAAAAAGAACTTCATGAAACAGGAAGCAAAGTCATCAGCTAGACTTCAGAGAGTTGGTAGGAGTAAACTTTTTGACTATATTTCATATGTATATGTTTTAGTCAGTTTTTTCACTGCTGTGACTAAATGAACCCAACCAGAACAACTATAGAGGATGAAGTTTATTTGAGGCTCATAGCCCCAGAGGTATCAATCCATAGCTAGTCAGCTTTATTCCTCAAGTCTCCAGGTGATGCAGAACAACAAGATAGAAGAATGTTGGAGAGGTAAGCAGCTCACACGATGATCAGAAAGCAGAGAGAGAGAGAAGTCACCACTCAATTAATCCCATCAGGTGACTAATTCACTGATTGGGTTAAGGCTCTCATAACCCATAAATTTCTTCTCTCAAATTACTTGCATTGTCTCACATGTGAGCTTTCGAGAGCTACCTTACACCCAAACCATAATAGCATATTACACATACTGTTATTTGCACATGTTACTGATAAGGGGCTTTACACATATTCAATTATATAATCCCAGCATAATCCTGTGAAGTTGGCACTATCATTGTCCTCACTTTACAGATGAGGGAGTGAAGGGGTGATTCACCTAAGGTAAAGAATATAGCAATGGGCCTGCAGTCTAGTAATTCTAACTCAGGAGCCCATACTGTCCACTCAGGAGACCTGATCTGTTTAGGGTCCCTATGATTCTCAGTGTCAGTTAAAACAGCATCAATTAATGTTTATATGGCACTTTGTGTTATTAGTATGCTTTTTACTTTCTGTTGACCAGTTTTTAGATTCAACATGCATAATTTCAAATCTCCCAAAGTTGCCACAAAAAAAATTCCATAATATATAATACATATTACATATTGGGTATATGTATAATATGCATTATACACATTATGTTTATTATACATTATGTTATAATTATTAATTTTATATATATATATATATATATATATATATATATATATAATCATAATTTTGCTGAAACAGAGTACATGAATATCAGGCAAAACGCTCTTAAAGATGTACTTTCCCTAGTGAATATGTCTAGAATCTCCCTAGTGCCTTGGCACAGGGCAGCTCTTCTTAGGGCAAGCTTGTATATAGAGATTACACACAGAGATCACAATGATTAAGTGATTAGAAAAACAAAACCGACAACCTCTTTTGATGTACAAATAAAAGGCATCCTGAAAAGAAAGACAATTGCTGGTGTCAGAATTTTAAAAGTATTAGAGAGTGATGGCGCCTAGACAGAAAATATAGGCTTTTACGTTTAGATGTAGGCATAAGAGTAGAAAATTCTATAATGTATCTTCAAAGAATATTAAAAACCAAAATTTATTTAGCCCTTACAAAACATGGCTCAGTGGTAGAGTGCTTGTCTAGCATGTGTGAGACCCTGGGTTTGATCCTCAGCACCACACATGAATAAACAAATAAAGTAAAAAATCTATTTGCAATTAAAATATTTTTAAAAAGCTAAGACATATTGTTGTTATCACTGTTACAAAACTAAGACACAGGAAATAAGAAACAATTCAAGGCCATACAACCAAGATAGTCTCTAGAAATGACAGTACTTTTGAAAACAGTTCCAATGAAGTCAGACCAATAGGATTCAGAGGGCATTTTGAGGTCTTTTTTGTCCCACAGTCATGATTTCTGTAGCTGTGAGAAATGATGTTAATAAAATTTGGATAAATTGACTATTCAAACTCTCTGGGAGCCTTTTAGGAAATTTAGAATTGATTACTCCAACTTCTTTAATGTTTTGATATGTAAATGAAACTCCAGAGAAGGTGGTTGAGTTACCCACATTGGTGGCAGCACAGCTTACTTCAAACTGTGCTCTGCTCCTGCAGGCAGAGTTCCCTGGGGTTGCCATCCCCTCCACCAGGTAAGTTCCCTGGGGCTGCCATCCCCTCTACCCCCCTCACATTCCATATTGCCATTCCTCAGCTGGGCATATCCAACCCTTGACCCCTTGGCCTTCCTTCTTCCCAATAGTTCCCTCTCTAGTTCTGCTGTTCACCCAAGACCACCATTTTCATTTCAGATCCCAGAATCATCCTCTAAGAGGTAATAAAATATATTCACTAATAGTATATATTCTGGGGACAGCTGCGAGGATTCTAATGAGTTTTACCACATAGTAATTCTATTAAAAGAGTAACTTACTTAATTTAAACAATTTACCCAACTTCTCTTGTCTCAGTATCCCTAACTGTGTAATAAAAGGTCTAATAAAAGCATTTACTATATGGGATTATGTGAGAAATAAGGAGTGGAAAAAGATAAGGTGCTTAGAATGATGTCTGGCACTCGGTACATACTCAATAGATATTAACCATTCTTATCCTTTCCTCAAACAAAATGACAAACGTATTCCAAAAACGTATTATAAGAATCTAAAGCTAAACCACCTGGGTTCAAAACCTGGGAATTAACTTATCTGACCTATAGTTTCAAAATGGGGTCTTAGTGGCCATTGAAATGGATGAGGCAATGTATGTGCTTGATAATAATAATGATGCAATAAAAGTTTATGTATCTAGAAGTCCATGGGATTAAATGAAGGGAAATGAAGAGTAGGGAGGAGGGAGAGGAATAGGAAGGACAGTAGAATTAATGGGACTTAACCTTCCTAGCCTTGTATTTGAAATCACAACCAGGGTAACTTTGCATCATGTGCAACCACAAGAATAGGATCCTAATTAGAATAAGTTATGCCCCATGTATGTATAATACGCCAAAACACATTCAACTGTCATGTATAACTAAAAAGAACAAGTAAAAAAATTTTATCTGTCATCATCCCTTTTAGTTCATGCACCCAAATTCCTTATCTGCCATCCTCAGGGTGTTTCTATCCCAGCTACCTCCACCATGGCCTGCAACCTTCCTTTTCAGCTAATCCAGAAGAGCTAGAGTTCCTTAATGGTCAGGAACTTTGTCCATGGGTCTGAGCAATCACCAACTGTGAAATGAAAGCTGGGAGTATCCTCAGAAAACTACAGGAAGTAAGGGTGGATTCCCAGTCTTACAAGATATGTTCACAGGTATAACACTTGATCTTGGCCAAAAGACAAGAGGCAATTGTTCACATGTATTACCAAGGCAACATGTGACTGCCAAACCTCCAGATTTAATTCTAAGGTATCACTCCCCAAAACAAGTATAATAAAAACTATATATTTACAGAGCAAACTTTTTTTCTAGGTTCACGTATCTCTCAAACTCATCTTTTCAATTCTACCACATGCCTTCATTGCCTCCTAATTACATGAAAGACTAAGAAGTATTATATTTAGTGAATCCTGGTAGTGTCTGAACAAGGAGGATAACACTCTGCTTTAACTTATTTAATGGATAAAGGACAAGCAAGAGTCTAAGGATGGGTGATCAATGTCCTTCAGTTTTAGGTTACACTACTCATATTTCACTGACTTTTAAGCCCATCCCACATTAAAGATACAGAAGCAATTATGATTCTCTAAGAATTATTGGTAGAAGACCCATACATTTACATTTTGAGAAACACGGCAATGTAGGTTCCCATTAGTTTTCTTAAATTGTGTTTTAAATTGTTATGTATAACATTGGTATTTGCAGTAGACTAGAAGCTTCTGAAGGGTATGACTTATACTTGGCTTCTAGAGAAAACTGTACTGTATAAAAATATACTCTGGAGCTAAGCTGGAGGAAAGCACATGCCCTTTAAAATAACTGAAAATGCATTCCTGAGTAACCAACAGTGCTGCTTTCGTGATAAACAGCAAAACAACAAGAACAAAACAAAAAGGAAACGGTTCTATTGCTGCTAACAAATAATTTTTAAATCATCCCCTAATATATGCTATAATTCTAAAGTTTATCTATGCTCCAGTGGCATTTGGGTTTATAAATTTTGGCTTCACAGCTTCTTAATCAAGTTTTGGAAACAAAACTTTTCACCAATATAATAAAAGGACAATCTCTGAACTACAGGATTTCCAACAGCCCTGCTGTCTAATTAAGCAAACCATCATTCTGCAAAAAGCATGCTTTCTTGGTTGACACATCAATAATTCAAAACTCTTCCTCCCTCTATGAAATACCTTTTTGGATAATTAACTGATGACCAAGACCAGAGGTTTAAAAAAAAATCACTTGAAGGAACACCCACCGTTGAAATAAAATAACTGCTTAGATTTTCAGACTTCCTAGAGTGTCAAAGGTATAATTTAGTGAACTATCAAGCTCACAATTGTATTCTCAACTCTCTGCCAGAAATCATAATTATATTTATTTTAACAAGAAAATTTACTCATAAGAATAGTTAAGTATATGTGAAAATGATCTTGATATATGGTTTTTAAAAAATCAGGATTAAAATCATCTCATAACATTTCAAAATTAGAGTAGTTACATTAAAATGTTAACAATGTTCTGTCAAACCATCTTTTCAAAATGGTCAAAGGAAAAAAATGTAGGTGAATGTGTGTGTGGAGAGAGAGAATAAATGTGACAAGATGTTAGTAACTGCTGAATATAGATAAAGGATATATAAGTGATCATTGTACTATTCTCATAAGTTTTCTAAATATTTGAAACATATCCAACTACAAGAAAGAAACACATAAAACGAAATTTTAAAATTTTAAACAGTACATATTTATGGTAGTGGAATTAGAATTTTAATCTCCTTTATTTTCTTCAACATTTATAATTTGCCTATGATAAATAGGTGTTGCTTAATGAGACATAAAAATATTTTTTATTTTTATAATCTATTGTACATCTAGATTTTTAAGCACCAAGGTTTCTCTTCAGTAGCCATTAACAATAAAACATGATTTTCTCATTAACAACTTCATGTGATGATTCAAGTTAATTTTTTCAAGGATGATTCTGTTACAAACAAATCAACACTCACTCATCTAAGAAACCGAGTGAAACAGATTGGAGGTAGCCACTCTTTTCTTACGTTACCTTGTTTTCCTCCACAGAAGTAGAGCACAGTAAATGAGGATAAATGGTCTCTTTAAGCACTCTTCCATCAGCAGGGTATATGCTTTTTGAAAGGCCACTATATCACAAAAATGAGAAGCAAACTTTAGAAATTTGCAGTTCTTTATTTGTTTTTTCCCCCCTCCCATTTTCAAAAGCCGGATGGTACCATTCAAGTTTCTAAACTCTAGTTAGAAAATGTTGGGTTAATAATTACAAGTGACTTTTTGAAAACCCAGCACCAGCTGTACAAGTTATACATGGCTAATCTCATTCCTTCATCCCCTGCTGTTTTGTACAAAGGCTGAAGCCTACCAAACCCAGAGTAAATCTTCTAGTGCCAAAGTTGTTTTGTTCTGGTTTTTGATCATGGGCAGCATGCAGGGATTTCTCCATAATAAACCTCCCAAAGTTCATTTTCTACCTGAATGTTTTGTATGCTGCTCCCATCTGAGCCCACCTGTTCAGCAGCTGATAGATATAACTGTGACCATCTTCTGTCCAGATGAGGATTCTGTGAGCAGCAAGCACCTCTCCACCAGCAAAGAACTGCCCATTTCTACTAACTTCAGTCCACAAAAGGGAAAAATCACAATAATCATAAACCTAGAATGACAGTCATAATGAAACAACATATTAATTTTTACTCATGGTTCAAGATTATATTTTATTAGCACTTATTTTTTTTTTCCACATGCATCCTAACATAGGTTTCTGAGGATGAAGTTTATTTGGTTGTCTCATTCCAGAATGTGTTTATTAAATGAACAAACCTCAAATCCTAAATTTCAAAACAATTTGATTCTTTCCATGACTATTGTAGGTTTAACATTTGCAAATTTATATAGCAGAAATCCTTTGTTACACAATGTTCTTTAAATCTTTGTTCAAAAATATATCATCACCATACAAGTAAGACAATATAGTTCTGTTCATTGAGCCAGTTATGTGTAACAGTAAAGAAAAGAAGGGTGCGAGAAAATGATGCAAAGAAAAACTTAGCTTTCCTCTTGCAGGCTTCAGTCAATATATTCACAAGAAAAGAATGTATATTCCCTAGAAGCAAATGTAGTAACAGAGAAAGAAAAAAAAAATCTAAAACTAAGGTTTAATCTCTGTAGATAAAATGTTTTAGTTTTCTTTTTAATTCCGAAGTGCAGACATCAACATTTAAAAATAATTTAGAGATAGTCATTATAACTATGATTTTCTATTCATAAAATTAGAATATACTATGACATATATAATAATATCTTAGAAAACAAAGTGGCTAAAAAAGAGTTGAAAATTAATCAGTCATGAAAGACAAGTCATTCTACACTTTTGCAATATTATTATAAAAATTCGTATTATATATAAATCATACTTTATAAATATTGTCATGAACAAAACTACATTTGTACATCACTGCTATTTATTTATTATGTTATTTAATACTACCTTCCAACATTTAGAAAACACCACCAACAGAAGTCTCTCAGTATATGTACAAAATCGTATTGTCTGGCAGTTCAAAGAGTCAAGAAACTTGGATTCTTTTTCATAGACAACTTGCTTTTCCTTGAAAATGAAAGAAAAACATTTTAGTTTTAATTTTTAGAAATTTATATTTGACCATATACTTGAAGTAGACCATACCATTATAAAAGTAAAAGTACCCTAGTTTGCATTTCAGTGTTTTGAACTAAGAAGTTTCCTTTAAAAAGAATCTGTGAGCAGGAAATCCACTTGTATTCAAAGACTTATTTTATATTATCACTCAACAAACTCTCTGGGGAACCATTCTGGATGTGGAGAAAATAAAGTTACTGATATTCAGATATGGCAGAGAGATCAAACAAAAATTGTAAACAATTTCTACAAACCTGCAGTACCTTAATTACCAAAATATTAAAAAATAGATGAAGTGCTTTGAAAGTGACACAAAAGTAGCCAACAATGAACACAGACTACAAGGCTCTCAATTGTTCACAGACATACCACCCTGATCACCTGATCTCATTTGATTTCAGAAATAAAGCAGAGTTGTTCCAGGTTAGTATTCAGATGGGAAACAAGGCTCTCAAATTTGCTTTAAAATTTCAAAGTGATGCCTGTGTATAAGGAGAATACCAATAATGCTGGGTGGGGTGTACGTTTCTTGACCTCAGTATACTAACAATTCCTAGGCTTCTTCAACCTCAAAATTCCTAAAGAGACCCTAGCACCCCTTGGAAGGCCTAAACAATACTGTCACAAACATGAACACAATGTCCCTTCCTTTGTTCATTACTTCAACTCATAGTCTGATGCCAGAAAGAGGTGTCATGCTGGACTCCTGGGGACAAAACCCACAGTTGTTCATGGCCACCTCCTTGTACTATTCACACACCCAGAAAAAGAGAATCTTCTGCTATAAGGGACAGAAAGATATTCTGCTATAATCTTTTTTAATTAAAAACATAATCTCTCCATGTGTAGTATGCACATCAGTGTATACATAAAAACATTTGCAAGGAGAAAAGTTGGAAGGGTGTAATTCAACCATACTGATGCCCATCCCTGGGAAGATGGATGGGGGAAGTAGATGGAAATAAAATTTATATACTTCTACATCATTTAAACTTTTAACTGTGAACATGCAATACCATAATAATTTAAAAGTTTCACTAAATATACTTAAAATTGGAGAAAAGATAGTAGATACCAAGCCAACCTGAATGCTATTGATAGATGAGGAGAGATCCCATACTTTGAGCTCACCAGTTACTGATACCACCAAGAGAGAATCTTCTGTAAAATGAACAAAGATCACATATAAGCTGGACAGTGCCATAACTCACTTGGTGTTTTTCTTAAGTAAAAAATTGACATTTCATACCATGTTCCAAATTTGCTTTAAAACTTCAAAGTGGTCCCTATGTATAAGGAGAATACCACTAATAGAAGAACCATATTATCAATTATAAGTTGGTAGTATTCAAACTTCTTATTTTAGAAATAAGCGGAGGAGCCAGTTTTCATTTTCTTCTGTCTTGCTCAGCATAACATCCAGAAAATACAGCAAGACAAAATACTGCCCATTATTCTTAACATACCACACAGAACTAGGTGACAGAAACCTCCTTTCTCCACTTATCTTAACATCTTCCTGACTTTCTAATGACCCACTGGAGTAGGTGTTCTCAGTTTGTCTTGATCTAACTTATAGAAATATCTCTACTAACAAGAAAATGTAAAAAGCACTCTGGACTTTTGCCCAATAATTTAACAAATAATTCAAAAGTAGATGAATTACATGCAATCTCTTAGCAATGTACAATAACCAACTATTACCTTGAATTCTCATGGAATGAACAATGCACATGCAGTTGATCCAATCAGGAGACTGAGATGATGTGAAAGTGTTAATGACAGCCAAAGTTTTGGCATCAATTATAAGGATATCTTGATACTCTCCACAGCACAGAAGCCAGCCTTCTCCTGTCATCCGGAATGAGCAGTGGTAATACTGTACAAATGAAATTCAAAGTAAAAAATGATCTTTAATCTAGCAATACTGCTACGTGTTGATAAGAAATAAAAGTATTTGAAGAGCATTTGAGAAATTCTTGTGCCAAATAGGTTTTAGAAATGTTTTTTTTATAAAAGATAAATAAACTGTACCTTTAATGAACTTTCTTAATGTGCAGAGTTTTGGCCCCAAAAGAATAGAAAAGAGTTTGTGGCTACTGCAAAGCCAGGTATCAATATTTAAAGCAATGGGTGACATGTAGAAGACTGTTCACACCAATGGAACCCATCCCCCAAAAGCCAGAATTTGTTTTAAAAATTGGGAAGTGGGGCTGGGAATATAGTTCAGTGGTAGAACAATTGCCTAGCATGTATGAGGCTCTCAGTTCTATCCCCAGCAATTAAAAAAAAAAAAAACAATAAATAGATAGATAATAATACATTAGGAAGTGGTTATAAACGTGATGGCTATGCCTCTTATTCTCTTTTTATAAGTAAAACTTCAGAAATTAAGAACAATGGAAAATGAGGGAAAAATCCTTTTACTGCTTTATAAAATAGTGTGTCATTTAAACTGAATCATTTAAAATGACTTCTTTACATGTGTCCACGTATGTTTTGTGAGTGTCAGTAAGGAAAAATACAAAAATAGTCTTTCAAAGACAACATACAGAAATAAAAGAATTAGGGAAAACAATTTTCATTGAACAACAGCTTTTGAGAAAGAAGAATGCCAAAATAGTGGAGGATTACCAATATTTTACTCTCATGACAAAGTGTTAAAGAAAATAATATTCTACAAAGATATGCCTTTAAATATGTGTATTGCAAATGTTCTAAATGAGTTGCAATCCTGAAATGTTCTGAATGTACTTACACAGATGGCAGTGTGCGTGTAAGGAAGTGTGGCCTTCTCCACGCACTGTCCATTGGTGACATTCCAAACACACATCTCCCTAGAAGACATAACTTTGTATTATTCCCTGTCATTTCCACTCAATTGACTGGAATAATTTTTGTACCACCAAGTTTTTCTTTAGCATCGCACTTAAGCACAACCTGATCGTTTATGTGGCTTTTTGTTACAGATTACTGGGCAAGAAAATGTTGTGGTCATTAGAGAGGTTGACATACTGTATCTGTATCTTTTTGTTTGGGTAATTACACCCTGCCATTGCCTGCAAACCTTACTTTAGGGTTAACCTGGCCTACAACAAATTGTGGGGATACAGCTATCACAGCCTGTGAGTGACAGTACAACAATCTTTCCATGGAAACTGCATCCTCTAGAAATGGTTTATTCCACTGAACTTAAACTACATATTCTGAAAAGCACAATACATCAAGGGCTGCATCTTTTAGAGCCAAGGTATCATTTTGTAAGATCTAACAGCGCCACCAAGAGGCTACATATGGTCTATCACTGATATAGTTTCTTTTTATTTGAAATCATCCTTGTCACTCAATATTTAGAAAACTCTGATTGTTTTGAAAACTTTAACTTGTTTCCACATGTTACAAAGACACAAATACAGTCTAAAATGCAGTAATAAAATACACCCAGGTAGGGTAGTTTAAATCTATATGACTTCTGTTTACAGAAACAAGAAAGGCTATTTCAAAGTTGTTTGATAATATTGCTGTTTTGACATTTTTAACAAACAAAATTTTTATTGAAGAAAAACAAGTTTTACAGGCATTAAGCTAAATACTGCTATTTAGAATAAGCAAAATAGAGACTAATAACAGTAAATACTATATTTATGTGGTAATTTGAGGCTTTTTTGGGGGGGGGAAGGGGGTCATAACCAAACACTAAAAATCAATCTTCTAAATAATTGGCTCTAAACCTGAGGTGATTTTGATCCCTTTGCCCCTTCCTTCACTTCCCAAGGACATTTAGCAATGTTTGGAGATATTTTCAGTTGTCACAACTAGGAACACACTACTGGCACCTAGTGGGGAGAGACAAGCAATGCTGCTACACATCCTACAATGCACAGGATCATCTCCCACAACAAATGCTGGTTCAGTCCAAAATATTAACACTGAGGTTGAGAAACCATATTCTAAGTATAGAAGGAAAATATTCAAGGCTTTTCCCCCTCTGTTTATATCCAACCTTATTACAAAAAGGTAACTTGAATAGGCATGTAACTATTAGAAGAGGAGGGAAACATGTTCTGAAAAATAAGATTGCAAGAAAGGCAGAAATTACAATCATATAACTCTAAGGCAAAACAACTAATAATCCACCATGAAATTAAATAAATATATCTCAAAGGTAAAGAAATTGAAACTTAAGCATCCAACAATAAAAAATTTTAGTTTGACTAGGGATTTAATTTTACTACCATCTTTTTCAACTCTTACTATACATCAACAATAACCTATTTCAGAAAATTAACCTCAAGGATTCTAATTCCATGCATCTGTGTTGGGGTCCTGGTATGTGGGGTTTAAAAAAGCTCTTGGCCAGTTGACTTGTTCCTAGGTAAGTTTACCAATTACTTTTTATTTCAATAAGAAGCAAAAGCACAGAGGAAATATCTATAGAATATGAAATTTAAAAAAAACTGTTAAATTTTCATTGTAAGGCCTTGAGAAGGGATTTTTTTCCCTTATTCAACTCTACAACCTGTCCTCAGTATACTCAATAAAAATTCATTAATGGATAAATGTATTAGTTGCTATTCTATACATTTTCCATGTTTTAGAAATATACTATTTTTTCTTTGTTCTATTTATTTTTCTCTTATTAATGCTATTGTTGCTTTGCTCAAATTTCAATGTTGTAACTGGAGGGAGAGGTAATAAACTGAATACTTGGTTTGCCATCTTGAATTAGAAGTTTGTTGGATTCTTCAAACCCTTTTCCCTTGCCTTCCATTAGGCTTATGACTTTTCTCTAGTATGATCAGGCTCCTCTTCTTCCTCTGTCTGCTTCATAAGTGGTGATCCTCCTTAGGTTTTTGTCTTAGACTCTTTTACATTCTCAGACTTGCCACTGTCTCTGGGTGAGTCATCTATTCCCATGTCTTCAGTTACTGTCACCATGCTAATTGGAAGCCAGACATCTTCAACTGAGCTCTAGATTTCCACATGTAACTAGCTACTAGATATTTCCTCCTAGATGACTTGCAGAAATGCATACATCTTGTGTTCAAAATGAACATTAGTTCTTTATCCCAGTGAATGGTATCATCACTAGCGAATTTCCCAAGTTATTCTTGATTCCCTACTTCTCTCACTGGCTGAATGTGGGGTATGTGCTACTCCAAATATGGTCTCTGAGCTAGAAGTATCAGAATATTCTAAGATTGTGTTAGAAACACAAGTTCTTAGACCCCAGATCATATCTACTATTTCCTTGACTCCAGGAATAAGGCCCCAAAATTGGGAAACAAGCTCTGTAAGTGACTTTCACTGTGATGCACACTCAGGTTTAAGGTTCACAGTCTTAGAGGCCTGACAGGCCTAGAGTCTGCCTCATTATCTGGTCTCATCTCTTTCCAATGATTAAAAAGTTTTACTAATAAGTAATAACCTTATTAGGGCCAAGGCTTTTTCCTTAAAAGTTTTATTAAATATATATATATATATATATATATATATATATATATATTTATTAATATAAAATATTAATGCAGCTATATCAACCTTATTTTGGTTAGTACATATTTGATTAATTTTTCCCATCCATTTCTTTTAAGTTTTCCATGTTCTTATACAATTTTGTAATTGTCTGACAATCTTTATAAGTTAACAGAGGGCTCTTAGTGTCGTTATATAATTGGGATTTCTATTTCATCTTCATTTATTTCAACTATCTTATTTTGTGCTTTCTATCTGTCTCATTTTCTTTGATTCTGATGTCTTCTTTGGATTAAACAACTTTTTCTTCTTTTTTAAACTAGAAGTATACCCCATTTCTTTTATTTTTATTTATTTTGTTTGTATAGACATACAATACGTACATGAGACTTAAAATTCTAAAGTTAATCAACATCAACTGAGTGTGGTGGCCCATGCCTGTAATCCCAGAAGCTCAGGAGGCTGAGACAGGAGAATTGCAAGTTCAAAGCCAGCCTCAGCACCTTAGCAAAGTCCTAAGCAATAAGCTAGACCCTGTCTCTAAATAAAATATAAAAAAGGGATGGGGATTAAAAAAGTTAATCAACATCTTTATTCACATGTTGAACAGCAAAACATGTGGAATCTGGAATTGAAACTAATCTATGCTGTTGTCAACTAAGATTATGTGTATGTGTGGGGGGTAAAGAGAGTATATAGAAACAGTATGTCTTATAGTCTGGGTTCATTTAAATTTTCTAAAAATTTGCTTGTTTTTATCAATATTCTTTTTTTCATTTCATAGCTTCCTTCTGAAATTATTATTCTTCCTATAGAAGTATATCCTTGAAAATTTCATCATTATGGAGGCATTATCAGTTGTGAATTCTCTTAGTACTTATACTATGTATGTCTAAGTATACATTTCTCTAATTATGATTCCCTATTGCTATAGTATAAACTCTGAGAACAGATACCTCTTATATAACTGTTCTGCTAGTCATTTTGTTAATAGTTTAAACAAGTGGGACACCTGATTCTTTATTATTGTTTTGGTTCTCAGAGTTCAAAGGCATATAATATCCCTTTGGGTAAAAAACAAAAGAGGCCATTCTCTTACGTCAGCCAGTAACTCAATCCCTCATTCACAAATACAGAATGGACTCCACATTCCTAGTATACATTGGCAAATAACTCTTCAGCAGTCAATCTCTTCTGTTGGTAGGCTTCTTCTTCCAGCTATGTCCTATTTTACTGGAGAGCCTTGCTTCCCTGAAACTTCAGGCAAATCGCAGTCTATGTTCCTTTCCCTTTTCTTTCCTACTACTCCATTCTCAATTGAGAGTACAACATGAAGAATGTAACTATTGAATTGTTTTTTAAAACTGTAAAGGATAAGTTTACTTAAAATCTCAAAAGTAATTAACTACATGAAAGCAGACAAGCAGCTTAACTTTTCCATTTCCAATTCTATTCTTCTAGGTATTTGTCATTATTCTTCACATAGTAAGGGGGTGACATTAAAATGTTTATCTTGGTCTCCACCCAGCAAGAGTATTGCATTGAGCATCACAATACTGATTATATTCCTTGGGACTAAATCAAAAAGTACTCAGTCATTTAAGATCTAAATTTTCCTATATGTAAAAGGAACATGTTGATCATGGAAATTTTATTTAGACCACAAGTCAAACCCCATTATAGTCTTCAGAAAGGGAATGGAATAAAAAAGGGAACAAAGTTCCACACATCTTACCCATTTTCAGCAGCACTGACGACATATGGCTGTTTAGAGAAGTCCCTCGCTCTTGCTAAACATGTTACTGAAGTAGAATGACCAAATAGGAGTTCCTTAGCTGAAATCTGAAAATAATGAGAGGAAGCTTTCACATAACTAAAAACCGTTTGAAAAATAAAGACATCTGTTATGGTTTAGACATTAGGTGTCCCCCAAAAACTCATATGTGAGATAGTGCAAGAAAGTTCAAAGCAAAGTGATTGGATTGTGAGCATGCTAACCTATTCAGTGCCTTAATTTGCTAATAGGGATTAACTTGGTGGTAACTGTAAGCAGGTAGTGTGTAGCTAGAGAAGGTGGGTCTTTGGGTATATATTTTGTCTCTGGTGAGTGAAACACTCTGTTTCATGGTGGTCTTCTCCTGAACTGCCTTCCTCCACCATGTTGGTTAGCCCCAAATAAACTTTTCCTCCTCTAAAATTGTTCTTGTCAGGTCTTCTGGTCACAATGGCAAAAAAGCTGACTAAAATAAGATTATAGTGTATATTTGGATTAAGAGACCCTTTATATTATATTTTTTCTGTACATATATTTCAGGAAAACTGATACATGAACTCTCAAAATGCATAGAATAAAACGTAGGAAAAGCAATTGTGCTGTACCCGATTTTTTGTTTGTTTTGGTTTGGTATGCATCATGAAATCTAGATGATAGCCAGATCTGTTTTACAGCATCTAGGTTTTGAATACAAATAAGTCATGTTGATGTTTATGATATGTAAAATGTCTCCTGAATGATGGTAGCATATTAATGTGTAGAATGACGGTAGCATATTAATGTGTACATTTCAGAATTTAAATGAATTTACAAAATAATAACACTGAAAATATTACATTTTTAACCATTATACTACCTTATTAGTGATAGGAATATGAATTAATACAGCATTTGGGAAAAAATGGAAATTTCTTTAAAAATTAAAAACAGAGCTACCGTATGGCCCAGCAATCTTATTTCTGTGTATGTATCCAAAAGAATTGAAATCAGTAACTTGAAGAGATACCTGCACACCCATTTTTACTGCAGCATTATTCATAATAACTAAAATATGGAAACAACTTAAGTGTTCATCAATGGATGAATGCATAAAGAAAATGTGCATATATACATGTACATATATATATATATATATATATATATATATAGACACATAAAGAAATATTATTCAGTCATAAAATAGAAAATCCTATCATTTGTGACAACACAAATAAACCTGGATAAGTTATTATGATAAGTGAAATAAACCAGACAAACAAAGACAAATGCTATATGATGTTAGTTATATATCCAAAATAGTCCAACTCATAGAAACAGAATAGAACAGTGGTTTACAGAAATTGGAAGTAGGGAAGGGATGGGGAGATACCAATCAAAGGAAGATGTTGAGTTATAAGAGGAATAGTTTTACAGCTCTATGTATGGCACGTTATGTATAGTTGATAATACCATATTTTGGACTGGGGATATAGCTCAGTAGTAGAGTGCCTGCTGAGCATACATTGGGCCCTGGATTAGATTCCTAGTACTATACAAAATAATAATAAAAATAATGCTAACTATTATTGCACACTTGAAATTTAACGAGAGTAGATTTTAAGTGATCTTACCACAAGCAAAAAACGGTAACTATATGAGGTGATATATGTATAGACAGTGATACGTCTTGTGGTAAACAATTTATAATACATATGTACATTAAATCACCATATCAAACATGTTAGATATAAATAATCTTTATTTGGCAATTATACTTTCAAAAACCAAAGAGAAAAAAAGCTGAAATGTCATTAGTCATTAGTAGCATATTAATGTGTACATTTTAGAATTTAAATGAATTTACAAAATAATAACACTGAAAATATTACATTTTTAACCATTATACTACCTTATTAGTGATAGGAATATGAACTGATACAGCATTTGGGAAAAAATGGAAATTTCTTTAAAAATTAAATTTTTAAAGTAAACATGTTTCTTATTTATATCAAAAGTAAAAATCAAGAAACAAAAGTAAAGGTCATATAACAAGACAAGCTAGAGACTGGGAGAAACATTTGCAAAAGGTATATCTGATAAGAAACTATTCAAAATATACAAAGAAATTTTTCTCTTTGTGGTGGTGGGGATTAAACGCAGGGCCTCACACATGCTAGACAAACACTCAATCATTGAGCCACACTTCTACCCCTAAAGAATTCTTAAAACTCGATAATAGTAGAATGAATCACCTGATTAAAAATAATTGGAAGCAGACAACAAAGATTATAATCAGATGGCAAATGAGCATATAAAAGGGTGCTCTACATCATCTTTCATAAAGGTAATACAAATTAGAACAAAAATGAAGTACCAGCAGACACCTATTAGAGTGGCTAAAATCTAGAACAGTGATAACAATAGGTGCAAGCTAGCAAGGATGTAGAACAATAAGAACATGTATTCGTTGCTGGTGAGAATGCAAAATTGGGAAGTGGTTTTATCAGTTTATAATGAAATTAAACATACTATTTCATAAAACCCAATAATGACATTCACTGGCGTTTACCCAAATGAGTTAAAAAGTATTATCTACACAAAAACCTGCACACTGTTTACAGCAGCTTTACTCATAATTGCCAGAAATGTGGAAATGACCATAATGTCCTTCAGTAGATGAATGGATAAACAAGTCATGGTACTGTACATCAATACAATGAAGTATTATTCAATGCTAAAAAGAAATGAGCTGTCAAGCCATGAAAAGATAGAGAGAAAACCTAAATATATATTACTTAAGTGAAACAACTCAATCTGAAAATTTTGTACACTGTATGATTCTAAATACATGATATTATAGAAAAGGCAAAATTATGGAGATTAAAAATATAGTAATGGTTATAAGAGGTTCAGGGGAATGGGACATAAATATGGAGCAGAGGATTTTTAAGACTGTGTATTCTACATGATACCATAATTGTGCGTGTGTACACACACACACACACACACACATAAGAAGTGAACCAACTCTAAACTGTAGTGTTTGGTGATAATTATGTATAGCTAGCTTCATTAATTGTAAACAATATACCATTTTAGGGTGGCAGATTGATGGTGAAGGGAACTGGTATAGGGGGCAGAAGAAGTACATGGAAACTCTCTGTATCTTCTACTGAATTTTGATAAGAACCTCTTTTCTTCACTAAAAAATATTTTAATTTAATTAAATGATTATTTAAAATACAAATATTTTTTCTCCTGCATGAGAATCTTAATATACAAAATTAAGGGTTAATTCTACCATTATATCATGTGTGAAAAAGTACATTCTTCATTATTTTGTAAAACAAGATCATAAAAATTAAACTACAAAATAGAAAACATATATAGTCTCTGTAAGTGGAAAATAACAGTAATAGACCAAAAATTTAATTTGAGTGATTAGAAAATGTATTTTGGGTAACAAAAAAATCTATATTACAAATGAATTACTACAAAAATACCATTGTGTTTTTTCTGAGCTATGCAAAAATATATGTAAATGATAACCCAGGCATATCAATAAGGATAAATTATTCTATGACATAATTATTTCTTTCTTTCATATCTACGATTACAGAAATATTTTTTTAAAAGGTCTATTGCTAGGCTAAGAAGGTCTTGTGGTGGAACTGAATCACTTACAAGCTATATTCTAACTCTAATTTTTTTCCTGGGAAGTCCATAAGATTCCAGCTTAGAAAATAACATCCTGTATTTTTCAAATCCTCACACTCAGGGGTGCATATTCCCATAGATAAACCTCAACAGAGTAAAATAAGCCCATCATGAAAAGGCAAATACTATATGATTACATTTATGTGAGGAATGTAAAGAAGTCAAATTCATAGAGAAAGTATTACATTTGTACTAATCAACACCTTATTCACATTGCAAACTTTTCCAACAACATCCTCATGGTGAATTTCCAAATCACAAAACCAATACTATCCCCAATTTAAATTTTCTCAATGTCTCCTTTTGCTTTAAGTATCCAATATAAGTTCTTCACTGGTCATTAAACCTTACATGACCAGCCCCAACCCATCTTCTCTCCTGGCCTCACCTCTCTCTGATCTTTGTTCACATCTAGGCTACAGCAACAGAAAGCTCTCTGTTCTCCTGCAGGCACAGGCTATTTCCTTAACAGAGCATGATCTAGTTGCCCCCCAGTCCCTGGCTAATCTGATTCCCATTCCCAAATCACACCTCTAACCCTGAGTTTCTAAATATTAGTGTCATTATCATTTAAAATGGGAAAACTCTTTGTTGTAGGAACTGTCATGCATACCCTAAGATGTTTATAGTAATTTCTTCTTTCAATTTTGACAAGAAAAATGCCAGTGGATATTACCAAATTTCTCTTGGATGGCAAAATAGATCCCTATTATGAATCACTGCTCTAACTCCAGGAAGACTTGCTACAAAGAGGAACATGGTGTAACTTCCCAACTGTACATACTTGCAGACAACTCCCTACTTAGAATACCTTGTACTGCAACATACCTGCACTACATTAGCTTAAATCCTTCCTATACCATACTGAAACCTCCTGGGCAACCAGCATAGGTCTCATTTGTGTTTGAACTCATGAGTAACTAGCATCTAGCCTACCTTAGAGCCTACATACTCAAAAAATGTATGCTGAACAAAGGCTGGATAAATAGCAGGAACAAATAAAAAAGGATCAAGATGTCAGCATTTCAAATGTCTTAAACTTAGAGTGAACTGCACATTACTAGGCAACTGCTTCAGCCAGAAAATAATAATACTCAACATTAAAAAGATTAACAAGACATTTAAAGCCATTTAGGAGTCTGAGTTTAAACCTATAACAGAAAATATATATTTCAAGATATATATGGCCCATCAGTTTCAAAGCACAACTATTGCAATAATACTCATTCCTTCTTTCAGGGATGTTCATAAACATCAAGCCAAGCTTCTCTGTTATGTGGTTATTGGCAGTCCTGTAGTAGAACTGTTCAGTGATAGGAGATGTTAATTAATTATACTATAAAATAGAATTACAATTAATTGTTAATTTAGGTTTTAAAGTGACAGACTTTAAAGGCTAAAAATAGTCTTTGATCTTTAAAAGGCTTCTTAATGAGGGCAGTATACTTTAAGTACATCATTAGTTTAAATGTACAAATTGGGTCTAGAGACTGCTAGAGTTAAGCAAATACCTATTCCAATATGTTAAATGTTTATGACTTGGGACAGAGACAATTAATTGCTAATCAATGGGCCAAATCCTAGGTGAGGTCAGGTTCTGAAATAGAAGGACAACCATAGTAAATTGGATTTAGAGCATTTTGATGTGATCTGTAACAATCACATGAAAGCAGAGACCAAAAGAATGGCAAGAAGGCCAAGCACAGTGGAAACACCCAGATAATTAAGATATTACTCATTTAGTTAGTAGCAGTTCTCAGGAATGCACGCTCTCTGTTTAGATTAATGAGCCATAATTTTTAGAATTATACTTACATGTCTATAGTTCAGTTACTTAGCATATAATTCAGGATATAAAATAGTAAAACTCAGCATAACTTAAAGGGTGATAACATTTAGCTGGTAGTTAAGATTAGCAATATTCAAAATATAATTTTCAAATATGACCTTATTCCACCATATATCACTTTATTTTCTCTAAATTCTTAAGTAAAACCAATTTATTACTTTTGTAAGCATCTTTTTAACAATCATGCAAACCATCCACTGTCACCACAGGTAGAAGAAGCAAGCTGTGCTTTACTATGTGAATAGCTTTCACTAACCTTTAGTTCAGGTGAAAGGCTCCAGAGACAGAGCTGCCCCTCCTGACTTCCAGTCACAATTGTCTGCTGGTCATCTGTGATCATGATGGCAGTGATGCTGTGGGGAGGGGCATTCTTTCCCCACAGTGCCACCGCCTGCAAGGAAGTCCTCATGTTGGTGAATCCTGGACATACAGAGAAGGAAAAAAGTGTACATGGTCATCTTTCATAAATTTGGGGGAACTGACCAAGTTCAAAGTGTATTTATAATGACACAAGTTTCCATGATATGTTTGCTTCATCATCAATTAGAGGAGAAAGTAGCCATCAGACAGTGAAATTATTGCCATCACTCTTCCATCAAAAAAGAATGTCTCCTCTTTCCATTCTTGATTATTGATACTGATGAACAGAAAGATAAGAATGATCTTCCCACTGCACACCCAGTTCTTACTATTGCTTTATCTCAAGCTTCTTCAAAGTCCAGGTAGGCCTCTGAAGAACACAACTGTCTACATACCACAATATAAACTTCTTTTCTCCAGAAATATCACTTTATCTAGGCAACAAATACCTGAATTTTCAATTAAAAAGAAAATCTTTTCCACAAAAATATTGTTTCCTAGTACTGAAAGATTCATGTGTCAGTGACTGTCATGATTTCTGCCATATTCACATTCAAGTTATATAGTTATTTATAATGATTTTTATTTGACTCATTTTTATATTTGGTATCTTCCTCAATAATAAAATTCATGCAGTCACTACTAATCATGTAATAGTTGCAATGGTTAAAATTAATGCATAATAATCCAAAAATGATCACCTGAGTAATAGATAAAATACTACTGAGTGATATGTCATTACATTTTGTGAGACACCAGTTAATTATTCTCCTCACATAGTCATTTTTTATGAAATACAAACAATTTGGGGATGTAATTTAGCAGTACTATTTAATCCCATTAAAATGTCAAAAATAGAAGACAGAAAGAAGGTACTAAGGATACTTTTCATATTTGCTTTGAGAAAGTTGACAAAATTCAAATATTCTGTCTGGAAGGATTTATGTAGCAAAGCATCAAAAAGTTAAATACCAATAAGAAATTTTAGAATTATTGTTTCTACTATTTACAATACTCATTTACATATATTTAGCATACACACACATAAAGAGAGACAAATATATAAACTAGGGTGTGCACTGACACCATGAATACAAATTTAGCATGGACAGTGACAGTGAGTAATCCACAAACTAGCTACTTTAAATTTTTCACATGTACTCTCACTGTTGGAATTCCACATGGTTCACATGTTAGTATAGTACAAAAGTATATCTATTCTATAATATACCTGTAATAGTCTTACTTCCATACCAAGCACCATGAAACCAAAGTTTCTATAGAAAATACTCTGAACTTGGCAATTTTGAATACCAGGACTACACACATTAATCAAATTACTAAACTAACCAGGGATTCTGGTTTATTAAAACACTATAACCTGACTTTTGATCTCTTCTGCTTCAAACACAGAGAAATAATGCATTATATACATACTAAAATATTGCTTCCTGAATAAGACTGCAAATAAGTCTAGGATCTCAAGGAGTGAAAACAGAGGAATCTGAAAACCAGTACATAAGCCTGGATCTGGGTCAGTCTATGGCTTTTGTGGGTGAGGAATTTGAGTGATAATATACTTAAGGACAAGAAATAAAGCCTTTTAGAGATAACCTTGCTCAATGTAATGGGAACCTCAAAAAACTGCACCACTACTCCTAGAAGATAAGGAAGCTTACTGTTTGACTCTTCACAGAAAAATGCAGTCTGAACCACAAACGGGTGTGGAGTAAAAATATATCATTACATATAATGACAGAAACACTACAAGAAAAATCAAGGTTCAAAATTTTCCCAGGTCAATGATACTATTGGAAGATTTTTCAGGAATACCATGTACCTATTAGAATATCTAACATCTAAAAATAAAAGTTATGTCAAATGCTAGGAAGATTGTAGAGCAAATGAAACTCATATACCAATGGTTAGAATGTACAATGGTAGACAATTTGGTTGTTTCAGACAAAGCCAGAATATATATCTACTACATGACTCAGCCAAACCACTCCTAAGTCTTACCTACAAGGGGAAAAAAGGGATATTTTCATACAAAGGTTGCTACTTGTGCAATGTTATTTGCCGTAACCTAAAACTGGAAATAACCTAAATGTCAATTAATAGGTAACTGAAAAAAACAAATTTTGGAGTATCCACACAATGGAATACTATTCCACAATAAAAAACAAGAAAGAATGACCTAATAATTCACACGACATGACATTGATGACAAAAGTAACTCAACAGAATAATACTGTATGGTTGTTTTGTATAAATTTCTAAAAAATTTAAATTTGTCCATAGCAACAGAAAGCAGGTAGAAGGTAACTGATTGCTTGGGACACCAAGAAGGGACAGAAAAGAGTTAGATTACAAATGTGAAGGAGGAAATGTTTGAGGGTGGTAAACAGGTTCATTATTTTAATTGTAGTAATGTGTTCCTTAGTGTATACATTTGTCAAAACTTATAAAATTTTACACTTTACATGCATTTTGAACACACAAGCATCCTTCATGCCAACTATAGTTCAATAAAGTTAATTTTGAGTTTTTGTTTTTAAAATGCATTTTGGGAGACACCTCAACAACCAAGAGTGATTAAGATTCCTATAGAAACCAATGACTTCAATGGAAAATAAATTCAAAATCAAATTACAAAACATTCAAGAAAATAATAAACTATGAGCAAGAAGAGGTATAAGTACCCTGGGAACTAATGATAAGAGAATTATTTAAACCTACTGCAAAAGAAAAACAAATGTATTAAAGTATTATAAACTATTAAAAAGACAAAAGAAAAACAGAAGGAAGACATTAAAAAACTTAGAAAATAAACAACCTATAAAAACATATATAGGTAGAAATAAATGCTACTTCTAGAAATAAAATATAATCATTTAACTAAAGCAAATATCGATTAAGAGAATAAATCAGAATAGGCTCAAGTAAAGAGGGAATAAAAGGCTTAGAAACAATTCTCAGGAAATAACCCAGATTATAACAAGAAGTAGTAAAGAAATAAAAATTGCTGAGTGAGAAAACCAGCAATATTAATATTAATCAGAGATATTAACTGAAAAGACCCAATATTTATCTACCATAAGAAAAAAAAAAGGAACCTATTCCCTTCCTGGGTAACTCAGCCTGTAATCATCAGGTAGGACACAGCCTAAGTGGAGTGTCATAGCTCAAGCAGAGTGAGGAAGGCATCTGCACAGGATATGTGGAGTCAGAGCCTGGAGAGGGTAGATAGGGTGCTGAAACAAAGGGCAGCCCATTATGAATTACAGGACATGTAGCAGAGTGAAAGGGATTATGGGACTGTCTGCTACTGGGTGTTGAAACCATAGCAAGGAGAGGAAGTAGCTCACTCTATGAGGTGCTTCCACATGAGGTGTCACTCTGGTGAAGATCAGACAAATGGGATATAAGTGAAGACTGTAGAACTGCTAGTAAGAAGGACCTCTATGAGGATGTCTTAACATCAGCTATTAAGAAAGATCATTCCTGACTTTTGCTCGTTTCACCACACACTTTTAGAATTCCTACAATTTGTCATTCAAAAATCACTTAGATTTTAACCTTCATTCTTGGCTTAGTTAATGTGTGCTTTCTGGGCACTAAGAAGTGGTTAAAAAAAAAAAAAAAAAAAGGAGTGCTCCTGGTCATGCAACTCCAAAGGAAGCCAGGAATTTCTGTTTATGGGCAATATGCACTTTGGCTCTTGTCCAAAGACTCACCTGCCACCTTTTAAACTTTCCTTAGGAAACTAGTCAAGGAAATTGATCATGCCTGCTAGGTAGCAGTGAGGAGAAAAAAAAAAAAAAAAAACTTTAGGGAAACATTTTCCAGGGAATTAGTATATTTGTAATACTGCATATTGTACTTAAGATAATTCCTTAGATGTATTATTTATATTCCTGTTATTGTGGAAAACTAGGTTCTCTTACTTGAATCAGCAAACCATTGCCTACCCCAAAACTGATCACCTATGATTAAGGTTTTTTATCTCCTTAAAATTATCTACTCCACACTGATGTTCCCTTAATAGAATGATACAGTTTTCCCAAGGACAGAGTATAGGCCTTTCCATAGAGCCCAATCCAGAGGGGGAACTTGCTAGATATTCTTTTGAATGAGTAGATCTTGACAGTCCTTCTTTCTACATTCTTTGTGAAAAATGGAAATCGTTTCTTAATCGATGTTGTATTCCCTACCATTCCCAAAGTGCAGTGCTTTGAACACAAGAAAATAATAAATATTGGCTGAATAATTTTTTTCTTTTTATTTAAGCTCTGAATCTGAGAAAGGAGAATAAGTGTGTGAACGATAAGTCATAGTAGATTTAAATCTGAATCAGTCATTCCCTCTTAGCTTCAGTTTCCTTATCTTGCGAATAATAGTGATAGCTATCTCATAGGGTTTCTGTGAAAATGGAATGGGAACCTGAATCAAATGTAGGGCAGAGAACAGTAAGTAAATTGTTGCTCTTATTTTTATCTTAGTTTCCATATTTCAGGAAAATAGAAACTGTTATCCACATATCAAACACTTTTACCATGACACTGTGCTTTATTCTCACACTTCTATCTCATTTGACTACTGCTGTATTTTAGCACCCAGAACAAGGTGAAGCACCAGCAGGTCCTCAGTAACTTACTACTTACTGAACAAATTAATGAATGAAGCCTAAAAGTTCAGTTGTAATAAAGTCTCTATTTAATTACTTACAAATGTTTTAAATATCTAGCAAAATACAAAGCACTTGGAGCTTAGAAAATCAAATAAATCAAAACATTTCATAGATTAAAATCCTTTATAGCCACAATTTATAACACAGCCAAATTAGAAAACAAAACACACTAAAGCAAAAACCACAAGAAATAAGACCAGAATTCATCCGGAATAATTTCGATTGTAAAGCATAATGAAAATACTTTTGCTATTTGGAGAGCTAGTTCTAGGACAGCTTTTACCAATTTTCACCTTTATTACCACATCATAAAGATAATAAGTCATATAATGCCCTATCTACATCTCAGCATTCTTATGAGGAATAAATT